TTTAGCTGTAATTATGTACCTGAATAGAGAGTTGCTGACTGAAAGGACGTATTGCTTAATTATCATAACCAGCATAATCCAAAAATCAATTAATCAAACAGTTTTCATGCCTGAAAATCTGGGACCAACTTGGCCAAAATTATTTGTTATTTCTAACGCATGCTTTTACAAAATGAATAAAACACTGGCCGTGTGAGTTATTTGCAGTCCACTATTTATATGTTACTTTTTTTATAAACTATCCTACTGGTTCAAGCCCTTAATAAACACCCACTAAAATTTAAACTTTGGACCCATTTTATTTACTTCAGTCTGACCGCCTGGGTAATATTTCTCTAACTTTTCAACAATCACCTTAACAATATACTTTTTTAAATCAACGTATACCTGACTCTTGCATTACATTTTAAACTTTTATATTTTTAGACTATTATTTTTATTAGAGATCAGAATTCACGTGGTCAAGAAATATCAGGCTACATAGATTATGCACATCGTTTAAAATCTGAAGACTTCACAGTGTACTTTAAAGAAAAGAAAAAGTTGCTCCCAAGACCAGGAGATCTAAGGTATATTGTAAAACAACGTGTTTAATTTGCTTAGCAAGTCAATTTTACTATTTTTAATAGACAGCAGTTAGTTTTTACGTGATTTTATTCAGAAAATTACATAGTTATATCATCACTAGGTTTGCAAAAGAATCAAAGTACAGAAACTGAAAAACATTTTTTTAAGATATGAAACAAGCGAGTTGTCTCTAGAGCCTCAAAGTTCTACTGGATCAACCACGTTACAATACGTATGCAGTAATTAAACTTCTCAGTAATATTGAAACTGTCAATCTATATGCATTTATGACCAAGTCTCGAAACAGATTCAGAAAGCTTAATTGGCTTTTTCTAAAATATGTCACTTGTAAAGTAGGTGAGATGTTCGCCTACTGACCAAAAGATAAATTTATTGTGCAGTAGCAATCTTTGTCCCACTTTATAGATGCTAAACATGATCATTAAAATTAACGGGGATTTGAAGGTTACTTTTGTTTGATTTTAGGTGTTTTAAAACACAAATTGAGTATCTCGGAACCACCAATCGATCAGTGCTAACGTTAAGCACATGATTTTAAATGAAGGTGTTTATTCGGTTGATGAGGTAATGAAGGCTCATCAACTGAGGTGGTTTAGATATGCACCACGTAGGCCTAACCACCGCCTATCTCGTTGGGAGGTCTTATCTGACACAGGAGTAGGTTAGAAGAAAGGTATAGTCTAAAAAAGCAATACGTGACAGCAGTTTGTGAAGTTATTTATGTGGTAGACATATTGGTAGATACAAACTACCTAATTAGGACTCGAGTGATAATCATAGCCAATGGTTGTAGAAGTTGAATGATATGACTCACAATCATTCGTAATGATCCAGGTGCATCCATTCTTCATGTTGTTTTAGATCATGAGTCCAAAAATTGCTTTATGAGTGTTTCATCTTTATATATCTAACATTTTCTACTGCTGCTGATTCTGCTACTTCTACCATTCTGGCATTTGTGTTCATAATTGTATCTTTCTTCGTCAATGTGATGTAGCAACTTAAACCGATGCACAAATATCCTAGTTTATAATGTGCATATTACTAACTGACTTCCGGGTTCATACTCAGCTATTTAACTCTTTAAAATAGCTACGATTTTGTTAAATAAGGCCATTTTAGCTAAGAAAGTTTATGCAAACTATAATCGTTTAAAACACTGACGGAATAATCAGACTAGACATTTTTATAAAAATTCATAAACATAAAGTAGTTTTTACACCAAAGATGGCTGCAAGATATGACGTATTTGACTAGTTTTTCTGACGATATGCTTTTCATTTCTACGTTTCCAAACATTTTAAATAATCCCGCAGCACATATTTAAAATACTCACTCTTATTCTTATAAATACAATATCTCTAATCTATAGTCCTTAGGTTTCTAATGTTATTCACAAATTCTCGAAAATGAAGCCCTCTCCATCTATTCATTTTTAACTACCTTAAGTTTCGTCTCTCAACTAATTAAGTCATCCCTTTGCAGATAATGACACACACTTATCGTTAATCAACATCTAAGTTGGATTTTATTAACATGATTCCATGTGTAACTAACTGTTTGAAGTATGAATATTCCATACAAAAACTAATATATGTAAATACATATTAACTTAATTCCTAGTTTCTACAATTGGGAAACTCACAATGTTGTAGATAACTCATCACCAAATTATACTGTAATAACAGAAAATCCTAATGGTCTTCTTTTGAAGAACAAACGTGATAGAAAAATTTTAAATGTTGATCCAGCTGTAAGTTATTGTTTTGTAAGTTTTGATCAAAAAATTGCATGAATTTCTAGCACTACTCAAGTTTGAATCTTTCAGGTCTGAATTAAGACAGCTTTTATTAATAGCTCATTATACATTAGAATTTCAGGCTTCCTTACCAATCACATGACAGAACTAAGCATTTATGGATAATAGCAGAATATTTTAAACTGTACATTACCACACTTTCAAACCTTATTAACTAAGTTTGATATAAATTTGTCTAGCTTTAAATCAAATTTAAAAAGTAGACATGTACTTGATTACTGCATATCATAAGATTTGTGTAGACGGTTTGACTGAATCCAAACATTAAGTAATAACTTAAACCCAGTATTATAACTTATTTAATGTATTTTCAAACTTTGTCAGCATAATGAATGTCTAACTACTGATTTGATTGTATCAGTAAAATTAAATTGTTCCCTTAGTTTTCGATCCTCATGATAGAAGCAACATTACCCAAGATTTTTAATTCATATAACGAGTATAAACAAATACCTCTTCGAAACATTTTTATAATTCCATGATCAATGCGTAATTTGTAGATTGTTCTACAAATAAACAACGTTGATCCCTAAATTTAGTATACTACAAAAATATCACTTTTTTACACCATATGTCTTGCAATTAAATATCGCATTGTTTAACTTTTTTAATTTCAGGCTGCATCCCCTGGTGATAATTCCAAAAGAACAATCGTCGAAACTGACAAGTATCTTCAAGTTGTTATCTACGATCATATAACTAAGAGAAAAACTTGAATGTTTTTTTCCCATTTCTAATTACCCTACATATATTATCCTTTTCATAAAAGAAACTCTGAGTTCAACACAAATTATCATCTTTCCGCAAATTCGGACGTTATTGAATTAATCAACCATGATTTTGGATGCATTTTACATAGAATCTTGCTATCAATTAAAAGTGCTTGTGAAAATAATCATAATTCAAATAAAACCTTTTATTTGAAGTTAAACTGGACAGATTTCTTTTTGTTGACAATCTTAAGCATTGATACATCAAAATGAAATTTGTCAGGAACAGTCTAAAATCTGCGATACTTGAAAAGCAATTAATTTTATTATACACCATGAGTTGTGATTAAAGGATCAATGGAAGAATTAAGACAACAAACGTCTGCATGATAGAGAACCATTTCAATGAGTTGTTCATTATTTTGTCACCATTATTATTACAAAACCGGTACTGATTTCTTATATGCGGTTATTTGGTTTGCGACCGACTTTTGTATTTGTGCCAGCATGTTGAAAAATAAACTTACTTCTCAAGCGATCTATTCGTTGTTGATTGTATGGCCTTATAAAATATCTTAATTTGATCACATTAATTTCCCCGAGTCGGATCACAGTGTAAATTATATTAAATAGTGAGATGGAAAGCGGGACGAACATATGTGTTGCACATGTTTACGTTAACCGTTTTGGGTAAATTAGTGCAGCTGATAAGTTTTTGCATCACTGTCTAAGATAAGGGTCATCTTTTGTACAATAGCGTTAGTTATTCATGTAATAGCCTGATTTAAGCAAAAATGTATTCATTTGGTTGTCTTCTGATTATCATTAGTTGTAGATCAAAGTTCTTCATAATAACTTATTAATACTTTTCGTCCAGAGTCAACGAAATCATAGAAAACCTATACGTTATTCCAACCAAAATACTTAAGTACATAAACACAACTACTGTAGTGAACAAGAACACCAATGGGGACAATCGAATGTATTTGACAACAAATTACAGAACTAGGTAGTAAAATCTAACAACCATATTTGAAATGCTCAATTTGAGGAATGCTCATCGATTGTCTCAAATGACTCAGAATTCCTTTGTTCTTCCATTTTCATACAAATTGCATTCTGTCTTCATTCTTTACTGTTCGATCTTCTCGTCTCTCTGCTGCCAGACATTCTGTTCACGACTCACATCATATACTACTTATGTCTACATAAGTAGCACACACCATACTGCTACTAGTTATAGCCTCTCAATAATATATATGACAGATTATCTTTTGAGTTTCGATATTATTATTCATCCATTGTGATGGTTTTGCCTCAAACAGAATATCCAATATCATGTCATTTAAGAATAATAAAACCTCTATCACGGCCTAAATTATTATTTTAAGACTTTGAATATATACATTTGGAAACGGTAAGCATGAATCCAAGTGTTTGGAGTCATAAATTACTGAAACTGGGTCTCATGTAGAATGTTACTTCGAGGCTATTCAAAAGTTCCACCCGCGAACAATCAGAATACAGTAGGTTGGTTGTATAAATACGTGTTAAACGTGACGATGGTAACTTTAGCAGCATTAATGAACAAGCAGCACGATATTGATTTCTATACCACGATTTCTATGTAATGTGGTGTTCACCTTTAGCAAATGCACCCAACAAAATAGTTTAAAGTTAAACCATCAAAAGTTGTCAAAGTGATGTTCTGAACTTAAATTCACGTTTTCAACAACATATAACTACAGATTCAATAACTTTAGTGCTTCATATTTATTCAACTTGAGTTCTGTCAGTCTTTAAGATCAGAAAACAATGAAAACGTTTGTACCGAAAACCATAATCGATTCAGATCACATTTAGACTTATTAGAACAAACGGGATCGCTGATTATTTTTATCTTCTACATCAAATCGAGGATGGTACAGACAAAATGGGACAGACACATAAAGCAGTTCCGAGTATATACAAGTTAAGACTTTAACTTTTAATTAAAAATCAATTTGTTTCGGGTAAATAAATAAAAATAGGAAAACTGAGCATGTGTATTATTTATTTTCTATACAAAAAGACTGATAAGCCTCCAAATGACCGTAAAACAAGAAAACACGTAATAGGTAGAATGATTGTTTTGGTTAGTGTTGATAGCTCATATAGGTTCATTTAAGTTCAAACCAAATTTAGAAAAATTAGGAGAAGTTTCTATGGGTTCAACCCATTGTTTCTCAGGGGGTACAAGATCTTCAACTGTATCTTCAGGATAAACAGGAGTTTTATTAAGTTTTATGAAGTCATTTGAAATCTTCCACAGACGAAAAAGAAAATACGCCGACATCAATGTTATGAATGATCCAGGGAAAATAAAAACCAGTCCAAAAACAAAGAACAAGTCCTTGTTTGTTCGATCAAATGTGTATGGACGGCCAAAAAATATGAAAAGAAACCCAGTAAGAAAAATAACGCAACCTACACAAAATAGTTTGTATGTATTTTTTAGTTTTTTATAATTTTTAAGCTCAATGGTATCTTGATTTTCTATCATATTCAGGTTGATCACACGATACACCTTGATGACTTGCGACTGGAAATAACTGGGAAAGACTGCAGGTTAAAATATCAGTACATGTATAATCTAAAAATAAGAAAAAAGAATTGGACTGGCATATTCTGTATTCACAGTTTAAAAATAGAAATTGTTATGACTGACATATCCACACTTCAAGATTTGCTTAACTATTTGCTTTGCGAGGACTTTGTATTGATCAAACGATATTCATATTTACACTGTTGTTTTAATAAAGAAGAATCTAATCATGAAAATGGCCTAAGTACTCATTTATACCAAGGCACGTTTTGTTCAGATATTTGTTTTTTGATCATTTTAGCATGCTTGAAGATAGATATTCTTAGTCATGAAAATGATGTATCCCAGTAAATTATTTTCATTTTTATAATGCATTTCTCCGTGTGTGGACTAAATGTGTCGTTCAACAACTCCAACCAAATAACTTAAAGAAAAATGCAGACATGTCACTAAGTGGTTGGGAAAAAAACTCTGAAGCGACTGAGCCTTAATTTTACTGAATATTTATACAAATCAACGAAACCTCTAGATCTATACATTCCATTATAAAAGTTCTAGGGTCGGTCCTTAAAGTTGATTTGAATAAATGTCAATGACAACAATCAGATTTTAATTGGACGACACTTAATAAAATCCGTATTCCAAAATTTGAGTCACGTCAGTGATCGTATACATTTAAGAGATTTACTACTAAGGGTTTAGGATAGGGTCAACAAGTTACGGCTGAGTGAAGAGATTTCATGAACATGGATAATCCTTGAACATTTGTGATATGTCTATAAAATGAAAGAGACTGTTAGCACCAATGACAGTGTTCGATAAATTACATGGGATTTTTTAATTACAAGTCAGAACTTCAGTCAAAGTGATTCGAGATAATTATGGAGGAAACTGACCAATGATATCCGACAGTGAGTACAGGCTTTTCTAGCCTGCCATCGGTCTTAAGTCCGTTGAAATACTGTCAGTTCATTAAAACATTTTTGAAACTAGATAACAGATTTGAGCACGTCTATGTAAACATAGTTGGTCCATTCCCATCATTTAGAGGATAAATATAAATACTAACACGTACCGATAGATTTGAAAGATGGTCCAAAGCCATCCAACCAAATGATACTACAGAGGTTACGGTTTCCAACAAGATGTTTAATTACATTACATCATTTTGTTGCCCGTTAAACGTTTCTTGCATATCTTTTGCGAATAATGTTTTCAAAAACTCTCAAGAACTGATGCTTAATTTCTTACTAGAGGGTCAAACACTAACTTAAGTGAATTTATTCCAACTTCTGGACAAGAAAATTCACCTGATCATTTTGAGTTATTTTGCATATATGCCTTTTTCAATTATTAACTAGCAACCTTGGGTGATTTTTTTCTCGCTTACTCCATTCGTTTCATGCCTTTATTTTGCTTTTATCTGCCTGACTATAAGTGCTGAATGACGCTTACTAAAATTGGGTATACAATGATTGTTACCTCGATGCTTATTGTATGTCTGAGTAACAGAATGTAGAAAATAAACTCTACCGAAAAATTTGGTATCTAGCTTTTATTCCGTCAGTCAGTCAGAACCAACGTGGAACTTCGTATGTACGTACATCAGTTCGAGTTGCCATACCACATTAGCACAGAGATTCAGTTATCGTCTCAAATCCCGTAGTGGCAGAGTAGTGAAAGTATAAGTAGTGACAGGAAACGCTAAGGTTTGATGATGTTATTTAAGGAGTATAGTCCAGTGGAATAAATTTGGAAAGAAAATAAAGGACATGGAGAATTCAGAAGATTAGAGTTTGAGAGAACACAGAGAGTGGGTGCACCTGCGCTATTGCAAACGATTTTTAGCCATGTCATTCAAGGTCTATAACCATCGGTTGCTATTATCTTGCGGTCCCCAACCAGGTAGTCTACATCTACCAATATGGCTCAGTCCACTTGTCAGTGACTTCATGGATTTGTGCCATGTTTTGGTCTGGCCGCCTCTAGCTTTCTTCCAACCTATTCCTACACCACAAAACATCGCACGTCAGGGCAGTCGGTGGTCTGGCATGCGCAACACATGTCCCAGTCATCTCAACTGATTAATTATCACTACTTCATCAATCGATTTGCCAACCTTACCTAGTACCCGTTTCCTAACAACTGAGTTACTTAGTCGGTGGTCCCAGGATATACAAGCAATGTTTCGAAGACACCTATGATCAAATACTAGTAACCTACGAATATCCTCTGCTCTTACCGGCCATGTTTCACTACTATAAAGTAGGACGGAACAAACTGCTGCGCAGTAAACATGTCCTTTGGTTGATAGACGGATATCTCGCCTACGCCACAAATGACGCAAGTTGGCAAAAGCTAGTCGAGCCTTCTGTATCCGTGCTGAGATTTCGTCACACACCCGACCACAAGGGCTGATGAGACTTCTAAAATAAGTGAAGCGGTCGACACGCTCAACTACTTCACTCCCTATCACTAGTTGGGGTGCCGACGCAACCCAATCCTGAAGCAACATTTTGCATTTCGAGGGAGAGAATCGCATGCCGAACATGCCTTAATTGTTGCTTAGAGTGGTCAGCAGACTCTGCATTTTGTCAGCGTCTTCACCAAATAGAACTATGTCATCGGCATATTCTAAGTTACACAGTGAGAGTTGGCCTGAGGTTGGTAAACGAGGTTAACTGGGGAATTTATGTCTCATATTTCAGCTATTATTACCGTTATACACTGAGTCAACTCGGCGTTGTATTTGATAAGCCTTTACATTGATGACAGTTTGCTAGTATTATTGCGACTAAGTCAAGTCTATAACCAAGTCTAATTTTTTCGCAAGTTATGTGAACAATGGTATTGTTTGAGAAATAACGTTAATTTTTCAGAATCCTTGGAGCAAGGATACTTCATGCTCCTTTTTACTTTCATAGTTGGCGCTAAAATATTTTAGAAACCCTAAGTAACGACATTATGGTCACGCTATAGCTTCACCTGTAACTTAACTGGATAAAGATAAACCTAGAAAAAGTCTGTACGCTGGAGCTTTCTGCTATGCCATAGCAATAACAAACTACAAGCTTTGCCAACGTTGCTCGTGTAATTTTTATTAACACCCGGCAAAAAACGAGAGAGTATTGAAAAGCTCTTCTAGTTGACAGTGAAATCAAATACCTTGTAGACCGATCGTCGTCTTTACACCTGTATTCTTGTCTAACGAATGAGACAACACTTTAAAAAACGTTAGGTTAGGAACAAGTATGGCTGCGCTTATATAAACTAAAGTACATAAGGATGTTATTAGCAGTGTGAAATATATGGTTCAAGTAGTGAAAACTCTAGGTTTTACACAACTCGAACCATATATTTCACAAAAAGTAAGCTTATCTTTGTCTCATGAGCTTCATTTCTCAACATTTCAATAGCCCTTGAGTTAACCATGAGCCCAATGCTTTGTGGAGGTTTGATATGAAAAATTATATTATTACTCTTTTTTCTTATTATCAGGGTAAATTCATGTCTTTTATAACGCAGTTTATAACTGAACGTTCAGTACTGGGAAAATTTTTAGAGTTCACGCCATTTCATTAAAACTTTCTCAAAGTTTTCTATTGCAGCTTCGCCGAAATTCATCTAAAATGGACAAAACTGTCCCCAAAATTGGATAACTAGGGTTAACCATACAAAAAGCGGCTTGAAAGCTGGACCTCTTTACTCTATTCTATCGCAGATTAAAAGAAGCTCTAATTTTGATTTACAGAATACTGAGAAATGATTTTGGACCTAACTTACTCTCTTTCTTCCCACTAGATCGGGACACCTTAGAGGACGTAGCAGACGAGTATAAAAGCCAAGAACAAACAAAATGCCAGTGACATACAGGTTTTCACACCGAGTCATCAATACTTGGAAGCATTTATATATAAATGCTTAAGAGTATACTCTTAAGTATACTTGGCAGCATGCTGCCCGAAGCAGTGGTGTCCGCACCTTCAATCAACGTTTTCAAGAGAAGACTGGACACTCACAGAATCATACTAGAAAAGGAATAACATTGGCCGTGGGCCTTTTGCCCTTACTATACAAATCTGAATCTGAGGTGAATCTAGTCGCTTATCTGAATTTAAGTGTTTTTAACAAGGTAAAGACATACTCATGATCCTCAAACTAAACAAAAGCAGTCGGAGGCGGTGCTGTTTCATCGAAATACACATTATACTGTCACATAATTGAATTAAATAAGTGACTGGATGCCAGTTTTATGTATACCTCTGAAAATCCGTAGAGTTGAAAATCACTGGTTAAAATGAAAAATATGCTAAATGGAAAACAAAGCCTTTAATGAATTATGAACAAAGACGTTACAGAATTGTCAAAAACAAAAAGAACCAGAAAGACCTTGAAATTCAAATACGTGTATGTAAACAGTTGTAACGGTAAAAAAAGCCCCGAAATAATTTTTTCTGTAAGTCTTTTCCGTTGGTTCCGACCTCATTAACTCTACTGGACATACCTATCTGAATGCTTTCAGTCACACATTCGCACTAGATCATTAGTAAGTATGCCGTGCTACTCATCCTTTGCGACGTTAACCAGCTAAGACAGAATACTTATCGACGTATCAATAACTTTCCAAACATATTTACGACCCCATATGTTTTGACTTCTGATTTGATTTGATCAATATACTTTGAATATAAAGGTGTTACATGTAAAGGCGTTGTGGTGAGCCCAAATTTGTAAACTGTGAGTCCGATCACTGACAGGTGACCAGTTTCTATTAGAGGATATCCATTTCTGCGTACCAATGTGCAGCAGTGACTATGATTCGGCGACGAGTAACGCTACTACATGCAACGTACTCGTGGGAAACGAGGACGCTTCCTATGGTAACTATAAAAAAGCAAACCACATGACCATGATGACGGATCTTGAACACTCTCATGGCTACAAGAGTGGAGGAGGCTAAAAGTGAATGACTACTTGGAGGTAGTGAAGAACTTCAGTTTGGATACGGTCTAAAAAATTTACCTCATGGTAAGCACGCATCCAGAAAGCAAAGATCCTGGGTTGAGAGTCGCGAAACATCTAAACAGACTAGACAGAGGGCCCGACACAAGTGAAAAGTCCCCTTAAAGAATTCGGGTCGTGACTCTTATTTAGAATTAGGAGACAGAAGCACTTTCCTCAGAAAAAGATGTTTTCAGGTCAAACTAACCCTAAATGTCTTCATAAACCAAGGGATCTGCAGTATTTATGGAGAACCTTCCGAAGATCTCATTAACAGGGATAAAGAAACCTTCGTTGTCAACTCTGTAGTCCAAATGAACTAACAGTCTGCAAGTGCGGAACGCCTCTCAACTCTAGTGCCACTTGATTGTTTGAGGAAAGTCCAATCAACTCACGGGAAAGTATTACAGAAATTAAAATCCCAGAATCCAGGAAAGTCACCAGTATTCGATAACATCAGACCTAGGATCCTAAAACAGTCCGTGGAACCTATCAGAATACCAGTGTGAGATTTTCAGGCATTCACTAGATTCACACCAAATCCCAAGAGAATAGAGACAAACAACTCTCTCTTCAGTCTTTTAAGGTGATTATAGGTAAACCTAGCCTGTTACAGACCAGTCATATGTCTTCCAGCACTGTCAAAATTAATGAAAGGATTGGCCAAAATCAAACGAAGGAACATATGGATGAAAACGGCATGCTCTATTTGGCTTAACACGTATTCAGGAAAGGAAAATCATCTAAGTTCAATATACTATTAGCATGAGAACGCTAGATGACCACTCTTGTACTCGATTTTTATCAATAACCTGTTAGATGAAATTAGTTCTGTGGCACTGACCTATGCAGATGACGCGAAGAACTGTGGGGTTCATAAGAAGCCAAAAGGACCACACTATAATAGAAAAATGAACAGTAAACAACGGGTTAAAATTTAACTTGTCGATTTGTCATATTATGAACATTCTGCCTCATTTGGCTTAAAGCCCACATGGAAGTCCGTTTTAGATTGTCTCCTCAGAACGTGATCTCTGGATTTTAACTACAGAGAGCCTGGACACCAATCCAAATTGCACAGAAGATGCAGACAAGTCAGACACAGCTCTCCAGTTCATGCGGAGACAATTCGGGGCAACCACCTCAGGGTTGTTCCTAAAACTGTTGAAAACATATTCAGAGTACCATCACGAAGCCCACAATAATGTCACTCACACTCTCTTAAAAATAGGTGTAAATCTCTTAAACCAAGCACAGAAACGGGCAGTCGAGTGGGTGACAGATCCAAAACATGAAGGAAAGACTTCAACACCTGGAAACACAAGTGTATAGGAAACGGACTCATACAGATCAAATTCTCAACTACAATGGCTACAACCCGAGAGCTCACAAAATCAACTGTGTTCACACTTTGTTCAAGAGAGCGTGGACACACTGCAGCACACTGATAGCACGAAAAAATGAAGAGAAATTCCTGAAGGATGTCGTCCACTGAACAATCTAATTCTCAAAAATAATCCAGGCGAGTTCAACTAATTTACTGGATGATTTTTTGTACTTAACATGTATATATCTTCCAGTTGCTTATGTCACATATGTGTCACTAGGCCAAATGCAGGAACTTCTTATTGAAAGTTTACACAGCATCATATTCCTGCCTGAAATTTCATAAGTAGCCTTAACTTTAAAATTGTTTTTCTGGCCATGTTTATTATTTTTAGATTGTCATATACCTCAACAACCTGCATGTTAACCTGGCCCGTACATGCGTTGCATTATACCTCTATGTCTTTTAAATCTAAAAATCATCTTAATCGCCCTTAATGTGTATAAAAAACCTATCATAGTCGTATTTACTATACGTATATGGGTATATGAATTGGTTTATCATATTAGCAGACTGAAATACAAACATAGTTAAGATAATAAATTTACAAATTTAGGTACTATCAACTGCACTAGTATGATAACTAAACTCTCAGGTAGTTGTCGAATAAACAAATATTTAAAATTAAATCTCCGGGGCCTATTATTAAAATTAACATTATGTACACGAATATTTTCAAATTGCCATTAGTAATATAAACAGGCAGCTCGGATTCGTTAACGCTACGAATTTCTGATAATTTTGAATCACCCAAAGCAACAGTACCTATTTTCACTGGCTAATCCTTAATCAACACTATAGCTAGTTAAGCATAAAGGTTTTAGGATATCGTCATAAAGCATTGTCATGATTTGACAATCACGTAATATGATTGATAGAATTGATGAATCTATTTACAAAACCGGTCAGCAAATTGACTTATAATTATTGTTAAATAATGTTGTTTTTCTTTTATCTTCATTCGCTACGGATGATTACAGTATGTTTCTCTATCAGTTGCTCATTCAGTAAATATCTCAAGTCCTTGTCAGTCTAATTAGAGCTTGAGCGACACAATCATGCATGCAAATAATCAGTACAGGCAGTTGCGCAAAGCTCCTGCGAACTGAGAACATCAATGTCGAATTTAACCCAATATTGACTAAGGTTCAAGTCATTATCATAGACATGAGTTGGAAATGTACTCCCCTTGATTACGAATTATGATCTCCCTGACAATCTCATGAGCATCACTCACTGTTAATTATCTTATAAAAACTTATATAACCAAATACATCTTGCAGCACCACATCACCTAGAAATGTGACACATAGGCTTAACTGATTTCAATAACTTATAATCACTACAGCTTATAAAAATAGTAATCCGCCTGTAGTGGTAAATAATTCCCGAAAATTAAATAGCTCTGTAAGTTTTCGACATTGGATGCCAACCACAGTTTTAGTGGACTCATCTAGCTGAAGGCGCTCGGTCAAGCATCCGCTTCAGATCACGTGTGGAAACGCCGTGCTCAACATCTGCCGCAATCGCTAGCCAGATTAGTGCATACGATCCTCGATATATTGACAGCTTATCAAATATATCTTCGATCTCCTCGCTTCTGTCTTTTGATTTTACTTGGTGGTTGCGCTCCATATTAGAAGGTGTAACTGGATAAAGCGTTGTCCAACTCCAAATACCCGGTATCTTCATTGGTGAGCCTGACGTGATTTGGCACACCAAATTGCAAACTATGAGTCTGTTTCTTTTTGTGATTTTATATATCATTGTCTTATTTTAATCCTTTTTTATACATTGTGATATTTTTCCCGTGTTTTTGGGTATATATATTTCCCACTCGTTCATTTTCGTACTTGATATATTACTATGACTGAACAGACCCCTAAAGTATTTAAGTTAAAGACTGTGTCCCCACCTTCCTTCCAACTTATGCCCTTCTGGCCAGACAACATTTAAGCTTGGTTTTGCTAGGCAGAAGCCGACTTCTACGAGCACGGTGTAAACAATACACGTGCACAATTCCTCGCAGTAGTCAAGGCACTACCGCGCGAATTCAACAGGTACGTAACACCTAGTATGTTTACTAGTGATGTTTCTGACCCATACCAAACCCTGAAACATGCCATCCTTAAACGCGGAGATCTAACCGATCGACAAAGGTTAGACCAACTCCTTAATAACATCGACCTGCAACACGGCTCTGCCACAGCCATGTTGCAAAGAATGCGAGAAGTTATAGGCCAAAGAACCTTCGATGATGGTCTATTCAAACAGCTTTTCTTATCAAAACTTCCTCAACAGGTGCAAGCTGTGCTGGTCTCGTTCCAAAACAACGCCGTAGACGAGCTGGCTGCATCTGCCGACCGCATCTTTGAAATCACTAGATCTTCTTACGCTAAGATTTTTTCAGTCAAAGAAAAGCCTCAAACCACCCAGAATGACATAACAGAATTATGTCACACACTTACTCGTTATCTCAAACTCCGTAACGACCGTAAACGGTCACTTACCCCTCGAAGAAGCCCATTACGTAGGCGGTCGTCATCTAGACCTCGAGAGATGGATAATCCTGACTGGTGCTGGTATCATAACCAGTATGGAAAGTCCGCCAGAAATAGCAGAAAACCCTGCAATTTTTCTAACGCGAAATCGGTCGACGCGAAGAATGTTTCGGGAAACTTCCGCGCCGGCACGGGTTAACGGCAACCGTAGCCGGCGAACATAGCCGTCTTCTATATGTCACTGATGTGATAACGAGAGTTCGCTACCTCGCCGATACTGGCGCAGAAGTTCGCGTTCTTCCAGCGAATTCCAACGACCGGCTTCACGAGTCGGTTTTCAATCTACAGGCGGCGAACGGAAAGCCTATCGCTACGTATGGCAAGAGGTATGTTTATCTTAGCGTAGGTTTACGCAAACCCATTTACTGGATCTTTGTTGTTGCGGACGTTTCCATGCCAATCATTGGTATGGACCTTCTACAACACCACAACTTAATTATCGATACGCGCAAACGGAGG